GAGTCTGAGAGAGGGTTCGAAATAGTTTGTGCGAAAAGTTTCCGAGCAGGGACATCACTTCATCCTCCTGTGCCAATCAGGATGGTAAAATTCGGTAATATTCGGCAGTACTGCTGAATACTGAGTACTATGTATGTTTAACACATACTGCACTGTGCGAAAGCCCTCACTTTTTTTATTTCGCTCCAAAGGATTCAGACTTTCTTGTCTGACTCCTTTCTCATGAAATACCCTTTGGCAATGGTTATTGAGGTTTTAAAGAGGTCTTTTGAAGAATTTCTAAAGACATTTTATGCTTCTGTACTTATTTCCAGTTCAAGCATTGCACATAACTATTTTCAGTGGATTTTCCTTTTTTAACACCTTATACTGACTTCTGAATATTTTGAACATAAAAAATGTCATTGGATTATCTATAACTGTGTCCCAACATAACATAGCACTATGAATGTCATCTTCAGGAATTTTGGTAGGTCTTTTGTTTCAGATCATTTGGTTGAATTCTACAAAAACAACATAGGCAATGCAATCTGAATAGATACATATTTTTCAATCAACTACAATGCTTTCAAAAGGGCATTCAAGTTGAAAAAAAAACTTTTAATACATTGTGACATTGAAAAGAATGACAACTAAAGGACAAAAGACATAGGCCTAAAAGCTATCTCAAGTGAGCAGAACCTGAAAGTGATTTCCCTAAGAAATAACCAATAATCCTGCAAAAACCTTACAAAGGACCAGATAAATGCATCCAGCTCTTCAGTTGATCCATCTAATATTGGCCAAAGCCTCATCAGAAATGGTCTCCATGGAAGGGTTGCTGTCAAGAATTCAATTTCAATTAAAACAAACAGGCAGAAAAGGCTGAAGTAAGAGAAATGACGCACACATTGGACTGAAAATCAGTGGCAACAGGTCTTATGGAGTGATGAATCCTCCCTAGAGAACAGACTTCGACATTATTGAAGGAGTATAGGGACATCTTGATAGAGAACAGAACAAAGGTCAGCCAACACCCAAAGAAAAGCTTTGCTCTATTCTTTAGGAAGCATGGGGAACGACTCCTGAAGACTACTTTGCAAGGGAGCTAGATGAAAAGGGTTCACGTTTGTTGTGGAGTAAAGATTCTCTTGCCCAATGAATTCCCTTGCCTCCCTCCAAATCTGAGCTGGATTAAGTGAGTTTAGAAAAATTATGAACGGCTGTTTCAATTAATCACAGCATTGATTTCCCATTTCAATTTCCACGTGGACAGAAATAATGAGTGGTTCCATACTTGCACCATTTTGATCTTAAGTAAAAAATTTAGCACTGCTTTTTAAGAGTTAATTTGCAGTACTTAAGAGTGCTATGCATGCAAAAAAAATCTTTAAATAACACCATAACTACACCCAAAGTAATGTAAAGCACATTCACATAAATCCAACGATCAGTAAAAGCACCATGAGCTCTTCTGCTATTCCCTTTAAATCCAAATTTATAACAAAGAAACACAAGAAAAACAAAAAAACCTTTTTCTTGATTGCACGTGTGCTGAAAACTTAAGTGTTGTTGTAGTGGCATGTAATTGCTTCTTTGCTTCATTAGTCTGTTGTTGATGAAATCACAGCTATACAAAAAAAAAATAAGCAGAGCAACAAACTAAGGTCAGGAATCTTCGGTTTGTGTTTCAGAGATAAATCATACCTTAAAATAAAGGGGTAATAGCTGTTTTAATCCCAGATTGGGCGAAGTCTGATGAAATCTTACATCTGTGAACTCATAGCTTCTCCACTTCTTCCCCAGTCCCGTATCTACTTTTTAAGGTAGTGCTTTGTGTATTTTATGTAACACTCTGGACATGTGGCCGCAGGCCTTTCAGCATACAGCAGACTTTGTTAGCTGTAATTTTGAATATATACTAAAAGGCGTAAGAGGCCAAAGAGAGCTTGCTGTGGTGGGCACAGACCACAGAGTGTAATAGAAAGTGACGACTTTACCACAAAGGTCACTTGGGGTCTTAATAAAACCTCAGCCAACAAGAGCAATAATCTGACAGCTGACAGGCCGAAGAGATTCTGCGCTCATATTTATGAGTCTACATAAATTAGATTCTTCTTAGCCTTTTACAGCTAACAGATACCTGCTCTGTTTCTGGGTCTTTGTTGTGAATACTCACACTGAAATGGGCCGTGCACTCGTGGTGGCTTTGGACAGTTTGAAATAAACCTTTCATGTTTGTTATTTCCTGTCTGGTTTCATGTTTTACTCTAAATTCTTCAGCTTTCTTGGCATTTCCAGTCTTTCACCTGTGTTTTTTGCTTGCAAGCTCCAGGTCTTGACATCCCTGCATACTCATTTCCTCACTGTCTCCTCAACATACTCTGCAGTCTCCATTATTTCCTTAGCAGACAGTCTTTGTTCTGTCTCATGGGATCATCACCTGCTAGCGTTTCCCCCTCCCCATTCAATTTTTGTTACCTCAGCCAAGAGGTCTTTGCCTAGTTAGGGCTAAAATTCTGACTGTATTTGACTGCCTGTATACCTGCAGCAGATGTATTGCTTCTTTAACTTTTACTGTGAGTTGCTGTTCGGTGCATTAGTGTTTGATCATTCTGTAAAGGTCACAGTTTCTAAAGCTTAGATAGAATTTCTCTGTTTTACTGATCACTTAGCCAGTGTATTTGTATCCATGCAATGTATTTTTTGACATAAGCAAGGTAGTGAGTACAAGATATGCTACATTTGGGGATCTTTTTGGGTGGAATATTAGAACAACTTTATCTCAGTTAAGAACATTATAGCTCTGATATGTTGCTGATGCTCTTACTGCCTGCTTGGATGCCTTAAAAAACTACGGCATCATCTTTGTGCTTAAAGTAAAATATTCCTGGATATAGGAGTGCGATTAGCTGCATAATATTACACAGAAAACATATTTTATGATTATTATTTTTTTATGATTATTTACATCAGCTTATTCACACCTGCACAAATGGGAAAACGTACAGACATGTGGAACAATACACACTGGCTGTCTCTGAAAACAATGTTGGACTTGTCTGACTATAGCTGCTCCAAATGTTTTCCCACTACAAACATCTTCAAAGTTAGTCATTTATTGAATTCAATTGGCAAAGGAACACATGTGGCAAAACTGAAAATATATTTCCCTCAACCAATTCTATAAATCTTCCGCTGTCCTATAGGCATTCAACCACCAAAAACAGAGAAACAAAACAACAATCCATTGGAACAACACCCTTGTGGCTATTGCCGTTTGCGGTGCAGGAGAGTCACTGTCAGCCTGTTTAGGCTGGATGCAGTACTCCTGTTTTCAAGCTGGATGTGTGTTTACGTGTGTCAAACAGAGGGTTATAAAAATGCTTTATGGCATCCCCATGAAACACTGACCTTTTGAGAAAACCACTGATCTGTGCAAAACAAAATGATATACTGTGTGCATGTTTGTTCATAAACATGTGTGCTTTCGGGCTTGTGCACTTGTGCACATGTTCTCATGTGGTTATGTGTGCGCACACTCCTCCATGTGTCTGACATGATGTAAAGCCAGAAATCTTCTATCCCACCAGCCATCATTAACAATGATGTACAGCCAAATGTCATTATGTATGGTCGACTGCATGATTTACTGTTGCAGACATAATGGAGTGGCTACTGTAATGAACTTTCAGAGTGTTTGATGTGCAGGACTTTGCTGGGGGAAGAGAAGTAAATATTACGGGCGTAATGGCAGCGATTACAGTGATGATGAAATTTCTCGACTCACTGACAAATAGACATGTGATCTCAACGGTGTGAGGATGAAAAGAAAGAGAGGCCATGAAGTAGGAGGAGAGGAAGAGAGGAGTTAGAGTACACAGAGGAATGAAATGTAGGAATTAGGGAAAGAATGGGCTGTTGATGATGTTAACTTTGATGTTTTGACAGTCAGCCATTGCTGGAGGGAAGACAGTGTTTATGATGATGACTGGTAACTCTGAGGGTAGAGGAATTGATAGTTATCAAAAGTCGTCTAATATTAAATATATGTGGAGCCACAGGGGCTTAAAATAGGTCAACCATGCAACAAGGCTTGGTTGAATTTAATATAGTAGTGCATTTCAGCAGCTTCTTGATGTGTAAGTAAAGAGGGAACCCCTAATGTATTGACTCGTCACAAAAAGTATACAGACATGGATAATTAGAGGATTTACAAAAAGGAACGAGAGCACCAGCAAAATGGAGCGTGACTGAGGAATAATACAGAACATGAGTACGAAAACAAAATATCAAAATGGCGATATTTCAACATGAAACAATATCTCAATGTGTGGCACTTCATATTCTGTCTTGGTTTTGCAATATAATTGGATATAATTCTTGTACTTGCATGATTATGATTCTTACACAGCACAACAACCCCACAGTGACAGGACTATGGCAATAGTACATTTACCCTCTCTTTCATCTCAAAACCACAGCAGTACATCCTGCATCCTTATCACAGTCTGACTCTGCCCCCTAATGGCGCCAAGCCTTAACAACCTTCAAACTCAAGTGCCCTTACCATGGAGATGGCTACTTTAACAAAAAGGGCAAACATATTCTCTATATTCTACCAATATAAGCCATACTCTCTAAATCACTCATAGGAGAGAACAAAACTAAACTATTAAGATTGATGTTTATTTGACATATATACAGGAGAATACATAGCCTGTCTGAGGGAGAGGTTGAGAGGTACCCCAGGATTGGATGAAACAGCCCACTTAAAAAAAAAAAATAAAGAAAAATACAGAGCTGGTTATGAGAAGATACTGTGGGTCTTGGAGTGACTCACTGGAGTGTGAACCTGAATGTGAGAGAGATTTGAAAATAGCTGTGCACAGACACTTCCAATCCGACCTGTTTGAGCTTGATATATTCTGCTAAGATGAGAAACCTATAAAAAGAAAGCAAGAAAGGTTTTTATTTTCAAGACTTAGGAAGCTGCAAAAGGAGCTGCGACAAGGTGTTACCAGTAAATAGTAAACAATGGATCTAAATTTCAACATAAATGTAATAATTCAGTATTTGACACATTTATTCATTTACAAGGATTTAATAACAATTTTTGTTGTAATGCGGTAAAAACTAAGTGGACTGGCCAAACGAAATTTGCAGAAAATGTATCTAAACCATAACAAACCAAATGTTTTGTATTCACAATGCTATTAGTTACAGAGCTTGGTCTTAAATTAATTTGATCAAGTTCTTGGTAATTAAAATTCCCTTTAAAATGGAAAGTCTTTTTAATTTTGAATTTGTGGTATTTTGCTATTGTTGTATTTTGCATTACAATAGGTACAGTATATTTAATTATGTTACACTTAATTTCATTGTACACCTCTGTTCAACACGAGTTTAAACTACAGAAAATCCTGAATGTGGAGAAATTGTATTGATTTCAGAAATGCACGCTGATCCACACCAATCAAATTCTCAAACAGCTTTATTTTGGATGTCCTTTCAGTAGATTGGTATCACTGTGGTGTGTTTTCTTTACAACCACAGAACGGAAAAGTACCGCAGCAGGGCTGCAGCCAGGGGCGCCACAGAATCTTTTCCCAAGTCATTTGGTTTTGAATACTGTGTGAATCTGTGCTGGCCTGAGAATGAGTGTCATGCGACATCTGTTTGTTTCTCAGGGTACTTCTGTGTCTCTCCACAGCTTTGGCTGTCTCCTCAAGGACTTCAGCATATCGAGGCTCGGAGTCCGGACTGAGTGGGCGGGACTCTGAAGGATCACGGAACAGGTCATACAGCAGTGGAGGGTCGTGGTGCGTCACGTGTTCTCCGTGACACAAGCAAATCTTTATGTCATAGCATCCGCCGGCTCCCGGGGGAGAAAAGTTGGGAGTGAAATAATGAACCTTGAAGATTGAGTCACCTGCACAGAAAAACACACAATAGCATACAAATATAAAAACATATCTCAATAAAAAGTGAACCAATGTTTTAAAGCAGTCTGCTCGCTTCATCTGCTGGATCTCTGCAGCATTTGAGAACGATCCAAGATTTGATTTGATTTCTTGTTTTTTAAAATTAATTTCTTTATATTAATAACAATAATATTGTGATCTGAAGTCCAGGATGTGAGATTGATTCCTCAGAAAGGTTGAGAGAAAACCTGTACTGAATAGAATTATTAGGTAACCATCCAAGAACCAGAAGAAAAATATATTTTAAAATAAATCCTGTTAGCTACAGAACTAACAGGATAGAAAGCTAAATACAGCCTGATAGAGACGCTGGGCTGAAACATTTGTGTATTGCTGTTAGTTTACATAGACCTTTAAAGTCCAATAAAGTCACTCAAACAGCACAATGCAGAACGGACGACTAGCAGCAGATGGAGAAAATGACCTTAATTAGCTTGTTTGGTCAGTACACAATGAGGAAATAATATGTCACGGTTGCATGGTGATGAGGAACATTAAAGAAGAAGCTGTTGCCGTCCAAACTCTAACACTGCTATGGAGACAGATGAAACTAAGTTACAAGCACTTTCCGCCTCTCTATCAATCTAGCACATCTTCAGAAAGGGTTTTAAAGGAGCGCTTAAAGCATTCAAATTGTTGCGTGAAATGTTATGTGTATAAGTTTGATTTTGGAGGAATCTTTTGATGAATGAATGAAGATAGTCTAACTGGGTTGGCATCTGTTTGACGTCTGTGCAGGTTATTTTCTCAGCTGTAAACAGATCCTTGTTATTCCACAGGGAGACCAAACGTGTGCATCCGTCTCTACGTGCGGGGACTTACTGCCCGGTGGGTGCCAGCGCACTGCATTCAGGTAGATGCCACAGTAGTGGAACATAAACTCATGCTCTGATCGCACAGCTTTGCCCTCCAACAGCGGCATGAGATTATAGCCATCTAAATGTCTGAGAGAAGCACAACAAAGAAAGAGGATTAAATGAGGAAACAGATAAAAGCCACTTCTTATACAGGTTAAGACTGAGTGGTGATGTAAAGGTGATTAGTGTAAAGTACTTTCTCTGTTTTGTAAATTAATTTGAACAAGCCAGTCGGTTTTAGTGTAAACTACTTTATTTTCCATCTTTTTCAGTTGTGCAACAATTCAGCATTTACAGAAACCTTCAAAGGAAGCCTTCAGAGGAGATTCTGTACCTGTCGGGGTGTGTGTCCTTAGCCAGATATTTGAGTGTGGGGTACAGATCCATTAGGCTGGTGGGTTCATCCACCTCTCTCCCTGCTGGAAGTCTGCCAGGCCATCGGAAAATTCCAGGTACCCTGATTCCCCCCTCCCAGCCCGCCATAGCCTTCCCGCCTGCAGGTAAGATAACGTCAGAAATCACACGATCGTCTGGTGAAAGTGTCAGGTAAAAAAGCTGCTTATCATGTTGTTTACCTTTATAAATGCTGTTCCATCCTCCTTTCTGGCCAGTTAGTGAATCAGCATCCTCCAGGTGTCCACCGTGGTCTGATGTGAAATACATGAGAGTGTTGCTCGCTAGGCCCAGAGAATCCACGGTCTCAGTAACCTTACCTAGGAACCAAGGCAGGCTGATCAGAAAACATTTAGTAAAATCTCTCTAAATAACTGAAATAATTTGAATTTCATTTTGTGTAATGTTGGTATTTTTTACCCCATTTTGTAGCAGCAACAGAAATGTGGACAGTGTCATTGATAGTCACCAACAACGTAAAGGTATGCACAATTTACTACATCTGCTTCACTCACCGACGATCCAGTCCACCTCCTCTAGATTGTCACCATACCGACCGTGGCGACTCTTGCCAGCAAAGGCTGGCGTTTTGAACAGCGGTGTGTGGATGTGAGCCAAAGAAAAGAAGAGGAGGAATGGATTATCAGCATTCCTAAAGAGGAGGAAATAAGAGAGTCATCCCCTCATCATTCCAGCCCGTCGTTTAAAATACCGCCCCTCATGTCGAATCATGGATTATGAGTAATGCTGTTATTTCATTTTTCAACCATAATCTTATGAGCTTATGGTTTATAAATGTCATGGATTTATTATCAGGCTAAAAACACACTCTGCTTGCAAGGTAAAATACACAATAATATTAAAAACAATTTTCCAGAAGGCTCATTCAAAAATATAATAAAACTCTTATGATCTATGATTAACATGGTAATAATCATTTCATCTAAACATACAATCAATGGTCCCTTTACAACCACAATAAATACTTCTGTTCATCAGCTCATTACAATGGATGCTTTAGCAAAATCTTTAGCTCTCATATCACATTGATCTGTATGATAACTGGTTTGTACGATCTGTGTGTTCAATTCATGTCAAAAGTCCATTTACTCAACCATTTTCTGTGGCCTCCTCACAGCCACTTCTTCCTGCTCTTGGTTAAAATTGGTGGAGAATGCAGTTACTAAGTTTGAGTCCTATGCTGTAGCATTATACTTGAATTATACACAAACCACTTTGTGCTAAAAGTTTAATGGGTTTAAATGCTCCTAGTCTGCTAGAACTCTACTCACTACTGCTTTCAGCTACATTACATCATCTGACACTCAAAAGTTATATACAATAACTAGTTGAAATAACAACATACAGGGAATAAGCAGGCTTAAAAACTGAATATAGAGAACTAATATGTTTAAACATTCAAAAACTACAAAAGCTGCTTTGTACACCTTCAATCAGCAGTGACCACTAACTTTTCCTTCAGTCAAACATAAATATACGTGCATTTGGCTGGCTTTATGCTCAATAAACTGCAGGTGGCTCAAAAAGTAAACACAAGACAGAAACCATTCGCTAATGTGTGCTTACAGTAACCTTTAACCTAGTGTGAACAACATTTTCAGACAGATACCATCTGTTTTTACTGCGTACCACGGAGTCAACCCTCACTGAAATAGCAGCAGCACTCTCTACTGCACAAAGCTGTTTTGAAAGCCTATGTGCTTGAATTGAAACCTACAGTTTGTTGACAATATATGCAAAAAAAGAAGTACTCAATCTGCCAAGAAAAGGAAAACTTGAGGAGAAAATGGACCTGAACATACTGTAAAAAATAACACTGCGTCCTGTTAAACAACAACACCCTTGATGGGACCTTTACGGTAAATTTTTCTCACCAATAAAACTGAAAACATGAATCCTTATTTGGGGGAGAAGAACTGCACGCATATTGTAACAAACGTTCTGCAAAAAAGTTTGATGACAAACCTGAGATACCTCTGAAGCATTTGGGAGAGTGTGTGAGAACTGTAAAAACGAATAAGCAGAAGGGGCTGTGCTTCTATATTCTCACCTCTTTATAAAATTCTGGGCTTCTCCCAGCAGTCTTTGGGGCAGCGTCTCCACCGTCATGGGCTGCTCGATCACCTCTTGGTTCCTCATGATGATGCAGTTCCAGGTAGGGATGAATCCAAAGGGAACATACCACACGGCGGCCGCAAGGGTGCTGACCAGGAACAGAGGTACCAGGAGCCACAGACTGACTTCAAAAAGCCCACACACACGTACACACACCTGAAAATACACACAGTGGGCATACACTTTTAGAAAGGACATGGCTTTACAGACAGCGTAAACCTAAGCTCAAAGTTAGATTCACGTGCCATTCCATAACAAAGCCACCAGATGACACCAGAAACTAAAGTAGTTGTTTAATTGCACCAAGTCCACTAAGAAATACACTGTGCTCTTTGTTCACTCATGCATGCAGCACAGTTTTTATGGTTAGGTCTGAAACAGTGTTACTTGGTTGTGTCCCTGAAAGGAACTCTAACTCTGTTGCGCTCATATATTTTTTCTAATTGGTACTAAATTTTAAGGCTTCTCCGGTTTGCGCTACCTGTGGCGCAGCTGGTTCCAATTTGTCCCGCCAAATTTTCAGTTTCAACATTGTACTGCGCTCTAAGGAAAGTTCCCAGCTAGCGTGCCTGTGAGTTTCACAACTGCTGCTTCTGTAGTCAATCTTCTTTCAAACCCTTTGGCGTATGATTCAGCGATTACGCATCAGTCAGTTTGCCTCGGGGAAAAATGGAACGACATTTCTTTGTTTTCCAATTTCCTCTGTATCTGTCTGTCTTTCGCTTTTGTGTGTATTTCAGACTGTTTTCTTCCAAATATATCTTGTTGTGATCATTCCTGTGGATAGTAGATAATCAAAAAGACTGAGTCACACAAACCGCCGTGATGAGCCCGATTCCAAGTAATAAGGTAAGATTCTGGAGTTTGTGCTGGAGATGTATCAGGATATCGCTGCCCTCTCCCGGCACGCAGTCATTAAACAAGGTGAATGGCAGGCCGTAGAAGTAGCTAAAGCCATGCTGGTTCGGGTGATGACAGTGATCCCCTCTGTATTCACAGTTCACTCCTAAGTGCCATTTACCTGAAGACATGCAAAGAGTCAAAACAAGAACCACAACAAAGAGTGAAACCAAGCCTTAAACACACACCACTGGAACAGTTTTTTTTTCATAATCTACCTCCATTGTTTCCTTCACCTTGCGCATGCAAGCCTTACAGTTTTATCTGCCATCGACATGGAAATGCATTCACTGATGCACTTCAAAGACCTCAATATACAAGAGTTTCTTGTTATTTCACAACACACCGGTACAAAACCGGTGAAAGTCAAGTAAGTACACAGATTTTGCACTTCACACTGCTTCCCCTCACCCACGAGCCCAGTGGTGTATCCTTGTTGCTGCAGCCTCTTAGCGAAGGTTGTCTCAGCGGGTGGAAGACCCCCCGAACCTCCCAGGAACAGTAAGACCTGGACACCGCCTGTGCTGACCATTCCTGGTCAACACGAAAACATAAACCAGCTCAAATTACATGAGCGATTACGACAAAACGGTGGAACATATGGTGTTTGGGAAGCTTCACAAAGAAATGAGGTGATTAAGTGGCACTGGCTGTGGAAGCATGAGGGTTTGATACCTGAGCGCAGCGCATAACGGCCCGTCATAAAAGCGGCCCGGCTTGGGGTGCAGAGAGGAGCTGCCGCAATGTGCTGGGTCAGCTTAACCCCCTCGGTGGCAAGTCTGTCGATGTTAGGGGTCCTTCGGGGAAGAGAGTCAAAAATATGTGAAGCATACAACATTGCAATGGATCTGACACAGAAAAAAATTATGGGAAAGTTGTCTCCAATGTTGTCACATTTAAGAACCAAAATAAAGCTACAACTGTACCATTTACCTTATAGTATCGTTACCATAGCAGCCTATATCACCTATTCCGAGGTCATCAACCATCATCACAACAAAGTTGGGCCTCTTGTCCAGAACCTCCCCCGAGACATAACTTCCTGCCACCAGGAGCAGGCACAGAAGTAGATTTGCCAACAAGGCAGACCTGAGAGGAAAATTTACTGGATTTGAACAATAACTCCGTGTAAGAGCGACAGAGGCACTAGAAAAAAATCTGTTTTTAAATTGATCTTAAAACTTAGCAATTTGTGGTAAACTGGAGTTTAAACTGCTTGTCAGGCAGTTTTAACCTTTTACAACAGACATATTTCTCTTGCAGAACTCTTGTAAATGTTGCACATTGTTTCCAGAAAGATGCATGTAGACTTAAATAATCATTTATTTAAAAGAAACACTCAGTAAATCAGAGTCAGAAAGGAACTGCTTCAAAGATCAAATGACCAAAGTCTGCAACTTGCAAAGCTGTCCACATGACGCATCTGGTTGCATTTCGCCTCTAAACCTAAGTGTATTAACCTCTCTGGTTCTGTCGTCAAAGAGACAGGCAACGCGATCACAGATGGTTTCAATATACAGACAAAACTGCTTTGTGCACTCACCCCATTCTCTAACTACACGCTAAAGTGTTCCGTCTTTGCGGCGATTCCGCCTCCGAGACGGTGTCGTAACACCTGGATCACATGCGCACAGCGAAATTGGTCATATATTATGAAGTAAAGGGTCCACCAAAGGTCCACTTTTAAATAAGACAATTCGGTAACATTATAGATACAATAAAATACCAGACAAATGACAGCAGATATAAAGTCAGGATGGACTTGAGGCATGTGATAACAAGAAAGTCTAGTAAAAAAGATAAAAGGCACATAATAAAACAGCAAAATGACATTGGACAAGATAAACAAGCAGGCACAGTGAGAAATTAACCAAATTCAATGGTAAGGAGATAAGTTTTACGATGGCATTTATATGATGAAGGCCTGCAGTTCTTTGAAAGTTGTTTCCATGTGAAAGGTGCCTTGATGCTCGAGCAATTTGTCCTTGAACTGTGGTATCTATGGGCACAGACAGCGGAGCTTCACCTGATGATCTGAAACATATTTTGGTCTAAATCCATGTAATGCTTTATAGAATAACAGCGGTATTGTAAAAGTAATTCTTCTGTATTTGTTGAAACTGGAGAATTTTTTTGTCATCTGAATGTCAATATTTTACACCAGAGGTGTGCGCACTTAAGTGTGGTATTTTTATGAGTCATATCTAATACAATACTACTAATACAAATGGGTGTTTTGTTTTTGTTTTCTTGTCATTGGCGTTTATTTTGTAACAGAGATGACTCATAATTCCGCCTGGTTTACTGGGAATAGATTAAATGCTCTATTGGCCACTAACAGATCCCCAAAGGCACACTCGGTGTTTGGCTTGAATGGGTAGTTTTGTACGGGTGTAATGACTGGTATGAATTAAATAGATATGCACACGTGTACAGACATCCAATGTTTTTGTGTTTAGCAAGAAATGCCCTTGCGGGTTCCCACGCTTAATTTCTGAGCATCTAATCAGGTGTGTTTTTATTGACCTGTCAAAATAAATCATTCACAAGGAATGATCTTTTTATTTGTGAGTTTCCTTCAAGAAATTCCTGGCATACTGTGCATCTGACTTCATGTCTCATTTTGACTCTTTGTCAGAGGTTAATTAACGTCCTCAAACATTGCAGCCATTTCAAAGCCCTAAATGCTAAACACATTTCGAAAGAGAAAGTTGATTTTTAACAGTTCTTTAACCATAAATATATATTGTACTTTTTATAAATATCATTGGGATCATGTCCCCAAAATCATGAACAATCAGTATCTGACTGTATGTTCTTAAGAAATGTGCCCTTGTAATGCTTTTGTAAAAAGCAATGAGCAAGCTTGGTACTTTTTTTAATGTGTTTAGTCTCTTTTGATATGTTGTGCTCATATCAGTATTCAAACATCACATCTTAGCAGTCCTTCTGATGAAGTTCACAAAGATTGGTGTGTATTGCGATACAAACCTTTAGCTGTTCACCAAACATTTGCTAAATTACAGTGTTGTGATCTGTTTGGATTCAGTCTGCAAAACCCCTTCTCTCATACCCACCTCCAAATTAGTGGTAGGGTGTACAAATTTACATTTTAAACCGACTGCTGTAACCTCAATACATGCTCTAACTTGCTCTGCAAGCTCAAGCAAAACAATAATCCAGTAAAGAGAAACTCTAAACATCAGGGGCGGCCACATCAATGTGAGCTGGAGACTTTGAAATTCACAGAGGACAACAGTAAGGGATGATCATGGAATCACTTATATGAAGATGGAAGAATATATTTTACAATATTTTAGCCAATTTCAGTATGCTCTTGTTATTGTTCTATCCATATATGAAGGAGTTCACCAGAGGAAATAAAAAAGGTTAACCACATATTGCAACTCATTCTTAAATCTCAGGATCAGAAAGGCCAGTTTAAACTGTGCCAAGAAAATATATATATTTTTTTTTTTACCAGTTTGGAACAACATTCCTTGTACAACCTGTATCAGAATAACATGTTGACAAAGCATGGAGACAGTTTGGAACGGAGGATAAACACAGGCATACGGCACCAGATAAAAGGTGGAGGCATGTTGTTTTATTGATGAGATCACAAAAGACAGAGCAGTCTGACATACAGAAATGTACTGTCAGCGAGGTTTAACCAAATGCACCCCAGATTTTCTATGAATTCCCACAGTACGCATGGAGGTTTACCTAAAGCCCACCGGAAAAGCAGTCCGGTGAGCAGCTTTCAATGTGAAGAAAAGAAGCTAAAGAAAATAATATTCTGCAATAGCTATCTTTTCTGCAGATCATGTTTTCTGCATCTCAATATTTGAAGACAGTATTAAAGACCCATAAAAAAACAGCTGAAAAAATCTCAGGCCTGCAATACAAGTTTTTTTTATAATGTTCATAGTTTCCAGACTACAGGCAGACACTGCCAGCAAAAGATGCTATACAATAGGTTTATATAGACATTTTTATATGTTCTAATTTTGATTATTAAAGTTACATGCCAGGCTGAAAAATATTATATCTGATACTATAAACATTTAATGTATTTTCTGTTTTCACTTAAGTTACACTTTCAATTTTTTTTATAATAAATAGTGCCTGTCATTGTCTACATACTTCAACTCTGACGGTAATTAGAACGTATTTGGTCATAAAACAAAGCATATGATCATCTGTATTTAAAAGGCATTAACTTTATTACATCTGCTCTTTTGGGGACTGTTAATGCTTGTGGTTTTTGGAATCCATCAAATTGTTGTGGAAACTTTTATCTCTGGACCAAAGTGAACTGACTGTAAAGGGAAAAAAAGATAAATGAATAAATAAAACACATACAAACACCCACCAGACAGAAACCGGCTCCCACAAGAACTGTTTAATTGACTAGTCAAGCGTTATTTACACAACTCCAGAAGGCCAGTGCCAGATGACAACAATGAAGAAGACAGTTCCTACAACAAAATAAAAACATAGCACTTTAAATTAACAGGAAGAGTCTTACATTTGCCTAAATGTGTGAAGTAAATCAAGATGTATACAGGATATGAAAGTGCTTCTCCCTTTGAGAATGGTCTCACAGTTCCTTTCTGATGATGACATTTTTCGTTGTTTTCTCCTCAGTAATAAAGAGAATTAAGGTAATAAGGCAGGAGTGGTAAGAGCCATGATTGATGCCCTCTAGCATGACCTGGAAAGTGCACTTCAGGACCCAACGTTTGCATTCTGTTGTAGATGCCATGCTCCAATGTGTTTACAGGGACTGCTTGGAGCAAAATGTATAATGGATCAAGTGCTCACCACAAGTACAATGTTTTCTCTGTTTTTCAGGATGGTAAGATTGTTGCTTTCTCCCTTATATAAAGTACTGATACGTTTTCTGAATGTACCCTGTAGGAGTGCTTTTCTGGAATCTTGAAACACTTACTGGAATGGATAAGGGGGCCAGTGGTGCATTCAAGTGGATTTTATTTTTGGAAGGCATCGGTGGCTTTCTCCAAAAGTTTGCAGTGTGTTTAGTGGGTCATTTTTGTGCATTATTACTTTATGCCAGACACACTTTGACTTTTTTTACGCATGTCAAGAGAAACTGATCTATCGTCAATTCCTGATTACAGGATAAGTTTGCAGATCTTTGACCCTGTGTCCAGCCCACAGCTCATAATGTTGAATGAATGTGACATCACAGACTATTTCAATTTTCCAGCATGAGGCTAGGCTGTTAGCAACAGTCTCTGTCCTGTATTGCAGTTAAATGGTGTTTTACAACTAACACACAAAGTCAACTGCAGTACTATACAACTTGTATAACCACAATTAAAAGTTTAAAGAGAGCAGAAAAGGTACAAAACTTCAAGGCAACAAAAAAGACATTCAGAAGTTAATTTGTGCTACAGTGGCAGAAAAATAGGCAGTAAAGCAGCTGCTTCTGAGGCATAAGAATCACAAAATACCACAGCAAACAAGTTGACTCATGACCATCAGTGTCGGCTAATAGGCACCACTGCTAAATGTAAAGAATTCATATAAAAACCACAGACAGTGAATGGTATTTGTGTGTTAATGGTACAAAAACACTGACAACAACCGGCTTGCTCGAATGAAGAGACACACAGTGTGAGGAGATTTACAGCCGAACACTTGGAGCACACAGTTAGTTAGAAGCAAAACTGGCCTGTTGTGAAATTAATAAAGAGAAACCGTTACAATCGTATGTAAGTGTACTCACTTCACATTAATTTAAACATAAATTATAACAAGTATACTTTCCTGTTTTCTGTGTCATGTGTTAGATATTTTCTCCAATTAGTTTGCTTGTGTTCTTAATAATATCCCATAATGATATATTGACATATGTGTTATATGTGTCTGTTAATCGATCAAGCCAGGCTGTGTCAGTGAAAGGCACTATAGAGAAAAACTTACTGCATCACAACTAAACAAATACATATTACATCAGAACAATGAAATTGTTACGACATGACCTTTTCAAAGTTTGCCCATATCTGGTGACCATTTACCTATTAAGAGCAATGGGGTTAGATTAGATTTAATTTCAGTTAACTTGATTAAATTTAGACTATGTACATTTTTTTATATAAACTGTTTTGTGTCCAGCTTCTGTTGAAATGTTAAAGTTGATCAAATCTGTACCTTTGAAAGACATGTCAATAGACATGTCAATTAACTGAGGAGAAGCGGTAGTCACCCAACAGGATTTCAATCTAAGCCCCTTTACCATCAACAACAAAAACACACACATACAGGGACATGTTCATCCCTCCTAAAACATGTTGGACCATGTCAGCACATCCATAAAAGTCCCTTCTGCTCCTTTACAACTGCATCTAGTCAAAATCCACAAAACACAGTGGTGGTAATTCATTCCATTTGTTACCCTTTTATTCTACATTTTGTCTACAGATAATTGATACTGTTTAGAATTATGCTAAATATGCTAAACCTAAGTGTCTGGTCAACAGTGGATTTTTAAAAATGTGGTTGGCTCAATAAATGGCAGGATTTTTCCCAAGAAAAAAAGATCACTTGTAATAATTCAGAACAAGTTAAACACCCACG